AGAGAGAGAGAGAGAGAGAGAGAGAGAGGGGATGTAGAGGGGGATGAGTAGACAGAGAGAAACATAATATGGAGAAAGAGAGACAGAAAGAAAGAAAGTGTGAGATAATCCTGATCCACAATATTAGATAGAATAACCAAAGTGACTCTTCCCCTCCACAGACTGTGAGTACGGCGACAAGAGGATATTTTGTCGGCGCAGTGCTTGTGAGTACGGGACTAGCATCCTCCGGGAACAGTGTTGTCAGACCTGTAGTGTCAGTGGCCGCACCACCACCGCGGACCCCAACTGTAAGTAATCGTGATGTTGTTGTTGTTGTTGGTGGTGGTGGTGGTGGTGTGTGTGTTCGCTTTAGCTTATCTTTCCGCTTTGTTTGGAGCCCCGAAGAGCGTGTTCTTCGTTAGAGCCTCCGCCTCTCTTGGAAAACGAGATAAGCAGTCCAACCTCCCCGAATCTTCCCCAAAGAGATGCCACCACCAGACCTCCAAAGTGGGGCATCTTTGCAGCCAGTTCTCCCAGTCTTGGGGCTCCTCGCTGCACAATGGATAGATTTGGGTCCGATGTGTTGTCGATTCTATGTTTGTAGGCCTGCATCCCAGAGAAGTCACCATTCTTGATTTTCGCATGTAGTGACTGGTGGCCGCAGGACCTAATTTGCGCCTCCCCTTTTGTGGATAGTGCCCGGTACGCTTCCTTCGTCCGCGTGTGGGAAATCGGGGGGGGGGGGTCTTTGGTTATCAGTCTTATCTGGGCGCACTCGCTTCCATAGGCAATGTGGCGCCCTGGGCGCTATTGCCTGTTTGGTAGTACTGTCAGCAAGGTCGTTACCGAGGATCTAGCAGCGACCTGGGATCCACTGGATTGTGAGTTGAGGATTTGCATTATTTATCCGTAGTGGCACTTGGTCCAGGAATGTTGGCGTTCCCACTAGTGCCACGTATAACGATTGACTGTCAGTGAAGATAACGACTGAGTTTGAAGCATCACACGGGTGATCGATCCAGTCAATGACAATTCCCAAGGCACTCCTCTCTTCCTCGAACAAACATGTTCCTCTCCTTCAGTGCTTTGATAACTGTCGGTTTGGACGAATTCCCCCGTTTTGATGGCTATGCAAGCGCCGCCATTAGTTGTTCCTGCACGTGCCGCAGATCCGTGTAGATGTTGTACTGTGCACCCAGCTCTCGTGTCCGACGAAGATCAGCTCTCAGGATCTCCGAGCTGCAATCACACCTTCCGTCTATGCCGAACAGGTGGGGGAATACGATATCGAATCATGTCGGGACTGATTCCCAGTTCCCATGTCTTTGTTCCGAAATAATCAACGGACATCCTCTCGCTACTAAATATGCGTGGGTTGTTCCTGCTAGCGGCTGCGTCCCTTGAGGGGTCCATGCACTTGTTCCGTTGTCGCATTTCTCCGGGGATGGTCGTTGTTGTTGGAGTAGTTTTTGTTGCTGTTGCTCTTTTTGTTGATTTTAAAGATGGTGGTAATAGTGGCAACGCTTATTTTCATTCTTGTGGTTTGGGGATATTTTTTCCTACTATTGATTTGTTGTTTTTGTCTGTCTGTCTGTCTATCTATCTCTCTCTCTCTCTCTCTCTCTCTCTCTCTCTCTCTC